TTTATCATATTGTCCACGTCTTTATTTATCATATTGTCCACATCTTTATTTATCATATTGTCCACATCTTCATTTATCATATTGTCCACGTCTTTATTTATCATATTGTCTTCTAAGCCAATATAGACAGGAATAGAATATGGGAACCAGTAATACAAAGTGCTAGAGAAAAACAATAACAACTGTAATATGAGCTCTGGTAAAAATGGTTACTATAGGTTTTTTTTTTTTTTTAATCCTGTGACCTGTAGGATTGTAGGGTCACCATGTGTACTGCAGTCGCAGTAGAAGTAGTGTTTTGGGGGCAAGAGAGCCTGACAGTCCAACCCTCTCCAGGCCGGTTTTGAATTCAGAGTTTTTCCTTCTCTTAGACTGGTTGCCACTCAAGGTCTGTTCTGCTATTTACCCATAGCTGAGGGGAGAAGAGGATTTATGTCTTTCCCAAGGGTATTAGCATGTAAGTGAATGTAATGGATCTAACTGGAATTTGAACTCGGCTCTTTGATTCCTCAATCTGAGCCACTATCCATTACTTCACCATGCCTACTGAAGGTTTAAAAGCCCCCAAAATTCATGCACTGATGTCCCCAAGGAGACATGGCCCAGTGGATAAAAGCATTGGTTGAAGTAATCCAGTGATTTGACCCAAAGAGTTGTGAGTTCAATCCCTGGCTCCTCAAAAACTTGGAGAATTGAGTTACTAAAGGAAGATAACTGAAAGTGAAATATCCAGAAAAGGCGTGGTATGTGGAACAATCTACCCTGGTGGATGAAATAAAGTGTATGGTTTGAAATTCCAATGTATATCACCTGAAGAAGGCCAGAGCGTACAACGACTGAAACGGCGTAAATATGACAATAGTAAATAGTGTAAATGTTTGAAATATTAATGGAATAATATAGGTACCCTCTAAAAATAACATTTAAAGTAATAAACGATAATAGCTTCTGTGTCTGTCTATATTTCTGAGATGACGTATTATGTACAGTATTTACATTAGTTGGACTATTGTCCTCATCTTTGTCGCCATATTTGTCACAACGTTCCAAACCTGAAACGTTATGACAAATATGGTGACAAAGATGAGGACAATAGTCCAACTAATGTAAATAGCTTCTATGTCTGACTCATTTATGGTGTGATGATACATGAAAAGCCAGGCTATCAGAATATAGACGACATCATTTTAAGTTTTTTCTTTATTCATGTGTATTTGACTTAGAAAGTAGGAGAAATAAGATTAAGGAAAAAACTAGTAAAAATTTACTAATTTTACTTATTCAATTCCACTTTTAACATTGAAATTAGATAATTAAATAAGCACAGCAGAGGAAACTTGACAAGTGTAGAAAAGCACAAATGTCACTGAAGAGAAGCCTTTACTATTTCACACAAATTTACAACAGTTTGCATGACATTGCATAAAATTCTGTAAGCAAGAAGGTGCTGAAAAGTGTTCAGCCTGAGCCCCTTACCAAAATCTGACCCAAATACCAGAATCTGTTTTAGAATTCTTTCTTGTTTGGTCTGACAACTTTTCTAGCATCTCATAGAATAATTCAGAATATTTTTTGCTATAAAAACAGAGGGTACCCAGTGAGGATTGAACTCAAACATTTAACTATAGGCTACCTTGCTAATGATTACTCTACGACAAGAGCCACTTAATATATTCCCCCCACCCCATAAATGAAAAGTGAAAACTTAATTTATTCAATGTAAATGTTATCTTATGCAAATGTTCTGAGAATGCAACGGATTGTGATTATTCATAAACTTGAAGGATGCTCATTGCTGCGAAATGAAATTGAGATTTTATTCACCAAATAGCTTCTGCTTTTATCTTTCTTCTTTCTTTTCTTTTTTTTCCTTTTTCTCTTCTCTCTTCTTTTTTCTCTATTCTTTTTTCTGTTTTCCTTTATTTTCTCTCTCTCTCTCTCCTCTCTCTCCTTTCTCTCTCTCTCTCTCTCTCTCTCTCTCTCTCCTTTCTCTCTCTCTCTCTTTCCCTTCTCTCTCTCTTCTTTTTCCCCTTTTTCTCTCCCTTTTTCTCTGTTCCTTTATTTTTCTCCCTCCTCTTCTTCATCTCTCTCTTCTTTTTTCTGTTTTTCTTTGTTTCTCTCTTCTTTTTCTCACTCTTCTTCTTTATTCTCACTTTTCTTTCTTCTTCTCTTTCTCTCTCCATTCTCTCTCTCCTCTCTCTCTCTTCTTTCTCTCTCTCTTCTTTCTCTCTCTCTTCTTTCTCTCTCTGTCCTTTCTCTCTCTCTTCTTTCTCTCTCTCCTTTCTCTCTCTGTCCTTTCTCTCTCTCTCCTTTCTCTCTCTCTCTCCTTTCTCTCTCTCTTTTATTTTTTCTCTTTCTCTTTTTCTCTTTCTCTTCTTTCTCTCTCTGTCCTTTCTCTCTCTCTCTCCTTTCTCTCTCTTCTTTCTCTCTCTTCTTTCTCTCTCTCTCTCCTTTCTCTCTCTCTCCTTTCTCTCTCTCTCCTTTCTCTCTCTCTCCTTTCTCTCTCTCTTTTATTTTTTCTCTTTCTCTTTTTCTCTTTCTCTTCTTTTCTCTCTCTCTCTTCTTTTCTCTCTCTCTCTTCTTTTCTCTCTCTCTTCTCTTCGCTTTCTCTTCTCTTCGCTTTCTCTTCTTTTCTCTTTCTCTTCTTTTCTCTTTCTCTTTCTGATTTCTTTCTCTTTTTCTCTCTCTTCTCCTCCCTTTTCTTTTTTCTTCTCGCCTTTCCGTTGAAAAAATTCTTTTGATCGTATTATTTAAATGACATTTAACCAAATTAGTTGAGCACTTGCTTTGGCATTCTTTAATTAACTCTATTGAAAACATTTATTCAATAGACAATCAATATATGTGTATAATATATATATATATTGCATGCTATAATTTACAATATATTTATTGCATATGTATAATATACATAGCATACACAGACGCATTTGCATATTGATTGTCTATGGAACATACATAAAATGATAATGGGTCAATAAGTTCATGGTCTGACACAGTTATTATCTGAATTTTGATCTGAAATTCTCTCTGTATAATGTTCAATAATATTTAGCTTTTGTGACATTGCCTTTAGTTTGTAGCTGAGCTAATATATAAACAGTGTTTACATCATTGTATCAAGTTGTGTTTGACATAAATTCATTCTCTTTGTTGTTTTTGTTTTATTGAAACATTTCTGTTTTATACCCAAAACCCTGCCTCCTTTGGGTAACTGCTAATCTCCAGGGTGCTGCATCTTGCTCTTATCATTGTCATGAGAAGTGATCTTTTTCTTTCAATTTATCTTTACTTTTTCTCTTTCTTCTTTTTTCCCTTTCTTCTTTTTCTTCTTTTTCTTTTTCCATTTCTTTTTCTTCTTTTTCTTTTTCTCTTTTTTCTCTTTTTTCACTTTTTTCCTTTTTTCCTTTTTTCTTTTCTTTTTAAATCATTTCACCCCAAGCAAGGCAATAAAGCCACTAGGATGCAAGGGATCACTGAGTGTTAGAGAATATGAGAAAAACTACTATTAAGGAGAGAGGACAATAAAAGTACAAAAATTAAGACAGAAGATAACAATTGACATTGCATTGAAATTTTTGAAGATCAAAGCTGACTTGGAAGGAAGAAGCTGGAAGAGAGTTCCACAAACAAGAAGTGTGAGAGAAAAAACTGTTAGCATTTCATCTGTAAAATGACCTTTGCCACCAATCTAATACTACACTTAGATTCATAAAGTCTGGGTACCATAATGGAAAGTTCATTAGAATAATTACCATGAAAGTATTTATAGAAAAGGCACAAAGAAGCTATGTTATAGCAGTATGAAAGAGACTGAAGCTGAGATGTCAGGTCAGCACCAATAACCTTGCAGATTCTTCCTTGAATTTTATAAAGAATCTCTAAATATATAGCAGGAACACCAGACTAGATGTGGCAGCAATATTCAAAGCAAGGATGAATGGGTGACTTATAAATATGTAGGAAAGATTCTGTCAAGAAAAATTGTCTAGTATGACATAGTGAATGAACTTTTGTAGCTGCAGACTTAGCAATTCATTCAATATTATCTTTTCACTTCATGTCAACTGACAACATTAGTCTGAGAAGGTGCAATAAGTCACTATCCTGGAGGTTAGCATCAGCCAGATGAGAGCAGTTTTGTTTTACAATTAAAATTAATTATCAAGCCACTCCTTGCTCCATTTAACAACAAATTGAAGGTCATTTCTTTTATATAACTTTCTGTATATTTTATATTTTTATATGACATGTATAAGAAGGAGGAAAACACTTGTCAATCATGTTTTCCCCTTTCTTATACACCTCAGATCTAAGGCTGAGACAATAAACCTTTCCAGTAATCATAGTGTTTTGTGTGTTCATTCAAGAGCCTTTGTTTTCTGTCAACAAGTGAACAAAGATTAAGTAAGCCAGAATGTGATCCTCCCCCTCTAAGACTTGTCAGTTCTTCACTAAAAACTTGAATCCATTTTCTCTTTCAGGCAAAGAATCATTCTAAAGTTCTTTAGAATTTCACTTACAGTGATTTTTTTTTTTTTTTTTTTTTATCGAGTTCACCCCAATCAAGGTATTAAAGCCCCTAAGACACAAGGGGGTTACTGGGTGTGAAAGAATCAGTAAACAGAAACTTTACTAAGGAACAAGAACAAAAGAAGAGTAATCAGGAGAACAGTAGAAAGCAAGTGACATTGCATTTTAGTTTCAAAGATTAACGTTTGCTGGAAAGCATGGAGCCAGAAAAGAATTCCACAAACGAGAAGTGCAAGAAAAGAAACTGAACTGTAAATTGGTGAGACCTCATTGCCAATCTAGTACTGCATTTAAATTCATGAAGTTAAGAAAATTAGAAAAAAAAGTTAATCAAAAAACTATAAATAGAAAAATAAAGCTGAGTTTGTTTCCTTTCTCCAACTTTCCACTTACAAAATGTCTGTCATTGTTGTTTAATAATCTGATCTCTTTTCTGAATCCATTGAAGGATTATGGCCTGATCATGTTGAAACATCATTTCTCTATAAGATCACTGAAGTTAAGCAACACTGAGCCTGGTCTAGTACCTAGATGGGTGACCACTTGGGAATACCAAGTGCTGTAAGCTTTGATGTGTGAGTGGTGTAATGGATAACAGAATTGGAACTTGGCACTCCAATTGAGTGTGCCAAGTTCCAATTCCAGTTGGGTTTGTTATATTCACTTTCATGCAAATACCCCTTTGGAAAAGTATGAATCCACCTATCCTCATACCAGATATGGGTTAATTAGTAAGGTTTGTATCACTAAATCATTATTATCTCTCTCCCCCCCCAAATCTCTTAGAATCTAAAAATATTTTCTGGCTTTAAATAACCTGCAAAGGGTTGAAAAGCCATAGAAAACAAATCAATGAAATACTGATTAGTTACACAGGCTTATCTTTTAGTTTTATTTACATTCTCTTGAATAGAAATGTGTAGAAACTACCGTGGCCACAATGTGAAGGATCAGTTTAGATACCGATTGCAATATAGAATCGATCCCCCACTTTATATCCACATTATAATTACTTTATCAAATTCTGATTAGCTATGAATCCACCCCCTGCTATGGGTTTATTAGTAAAGACCCGTATCACTAAAATCATTATCTCAAAAAAATTCTTAGAATCTAAAAATATTTTCTGACTTTAAATAACCTGCAAAGGGTTGATAAGCCATAAAAAAACATATCAATCAAGAAACCACTGGACTTCCCCAAAAGGACATTGCACATTGACAAATCCTGTAACTACTTTTGATAATGCTAATTTAACTCTCCAAGTTTTTGTTTATCTCTGCTGTAGCCAGGTATTGAACTCACAACTCTTTGGCTTAAGTCACTGGATTTTACCAGCACTTTTATCCAATAGGCCATGTGTCCTTGAGGAGACGTCTTTATTATTTTCCTATTTATTTTTCCTTATTAAAATTTAAAGTGCCTCTCAGAGTTTAAAAGAAACTTTTAGGTAGAACTCATGGTTACATCTCGCTATTTCAATGATGAGATCTTGCCACCAATCTAGTGCTGCACTTAAATTCATAAAATTTAGGTATCCTGAAGAAAAGTAATTTTTATTTTTTAACTATACAAAAATGTGGCACAGGACCAAAAAGTGGTGGATGAAATGAAACCTAACTAGCCACAATTACTGACCCAAATATACTACTGTATTCCTTACAACAAAATGCATTTTTACTACATCCACCATAATACTCCATTGGAGTCAACATGTCATCTGAAGAAAACCCTAGTCTAAACTTCATCTTGTAAAACTGGCAATTATTAGACATTTCCAATAGTTTAAAATGACTGAGCACTTTTGTATGCTACGGTATCCATCAACAAAGACATGTTATCTTTTTCACTTGAAAGCATCAAAATGAGGTGTGGTATGTGTATGTATATATATATATATATATATATATATATATATATGCTATGCTCAAAGAAATAGAACACACCCTAGAAATTCTTCAATTCTGTTTGGGTGACAGCCTCATTACCCATGGAAACAGTGATACTTTCTCAGATTTCATCTTTGCAAAGATAAATATATAATTTCGATTGAGCGCGAACAAAAAATGTTGACAATCCAACGAAATGAAAAGAATTAACACAAATTCAGGACAAATTATTCAAAAACAAAATTTTGAAAATCTATTCAAAAAGCAAATTAGTTTACTAGATTTCATGTCATATAAGTCCATAATACTATAATATTAAATATAAATAGTGGAAGTTTATATGCCAAGTTTTATGTTTTAGGCTAATGTTTACCCAGATGCCATAGACTACCAGTACTTTTACCTAGCCTCATTCCATAATACTGGAATATTAAATGTAAATAGGGGAGGTTTATATGAAAAGTAGATGTGTCTGGTAGGCTAATGTTTACCCAAATGCCACAGACTACCAGTACTTTTACCTAGCCTCACTCCATAACACTGGGATATTAAATGTAATTTATATGAGAGAATCTTTTTTTTTTTTTTTTTTTTTTAAATATTTCAATATACCTTTTTGGAAAATAATTATAAAATGTATCTTGAAACAAACAGTAATTAATCATTATACTAACCTTGGGTTCATCTGGTTGAACCCTAACTCTATTCTTAAGCTATTTGATTCTTTACCAATCTTCCTACTGCTGGTGCCTTATCTGTTATTAAATTGCTTTGGTCTACACTTGTGAACTGACTCCTGGAACTTTTGGAAAGCAAGGTACTCTCTCTCATTATATGGTCTCAATTCAAATATTCCCTTTTTTTATTTATAGATGATATTATATACAAATCTATATATGAGCTGATAACTGAGTGAGAGAATGGAAATTTCAGAATATTCCACAGAAAATTCACATCCAAGATCACATAAAATATTTCCTTTCTAAGCAAAAACTCCTGCTATTAAAATGTGCAATATTAAAAAAAAAATAGTAAATAAAAATAAAAACCTGTCTATATTTCTGAGATGAGGTATTATGTACATTATTTACATTATTCAGACTATTGTCCTTATCTTTGTCGCCATATTTATTACACCGTTTCGGCCATTGTACGCTCCGGCCTTCTTCAGGTGGTTGGAATGTCAACCTGAATTCTTTATTTCACTCATTGGGGTAGACTGTTCTAGTTCTAACTAATGCCTTTATCCATTGTGCCATGTGTCCTTGAGGACACATGCCACAGTGGATAAAGGTGTTAGATCCAGTGACATGACCCAAAGAGTGTGAGTTCAATACCCGGTTTCAGAGGGACAATCAACAGGACATAACTGATAACTGACATCCATTAAACATGGCACCTAGAAGTAGAACAGTCTACCCCAGTGAGCGAAATAAAGGGTTCAGTTTGACATTCCAGCCACCTGAAGAAGGCCGGAGTGTACAACGGTCGAAACGTTGTAATAAATATGGCGACAAAGATGAGGACAATAGTCCGAATAATGTAAATAATGAAAAATAAAAACAAAGATAAAATCTGAATTTAATAGACTTCATTAAATTCTGGAAGCCAAAAATTAAAATTTACTGCTTTTGAATAGGAGTAGAGGTGTATTCCTTCTTTCTTGTTTAGGATTGAGTTTCTGATTCTGTCTAAAGACTCTTCCTTCTCTTTCACTTCCAGCAGCCTCCTTATGTCTTAGTGGCATTGTCATTTTGTCTGGGGTGAATTAATAGGAAAAAAAAAGCAAGCCTGTATCTTCCACATTTCTTGATATAAAATTTAATAGCAAAGTCCCCGCAAACAAATAATATAAGAAAAGGACAGTTTTTCCTTTGTCATTAATTTCTTGGTAAAGTAACAATTATTGGTTTTACAGGATGTGAAGAAGCATTGTCTTGCATGAATATAATTGTTAGAGTAAAGAGAGCCATGATCACCCACATCCTGAAGGGACACAACACATAAAAGAAGACTTGTACTATTGAAAATAAAACTTCTTGGCCAGGAACTTACTGCCAAGATGAATGCAAAGAATTATCCCATTATCAACTGTGATGAGATTTATAATTTTACTACTTACAGTTCTTGCTCAGAATGTTACGCTCCAGTCTATTATCTTTTAAATCATTTTAGTTGACTATTTTTATGAAGGGACCAACTAATGTAGCTCTACATTCATTATGAAAAATTGCTGTTGAAACCTCAGTTTTTAAGGATTTCTTCATGTGCAGAAGAAATGCACTTACCTTTGAAAAGGCTGAGGGTGTGTGCCTGCTGATGACATTGGCTCCATGATAGAAAGAAAAAGCAGGGCAGTTGATGGAATTACCTGGATTTGCTGCCAACAGATTAGCATACCTGCCTTCGAAGACATATAAAGTCAGTGGCTATGAACAAGAGAAGAGCTAAAAAGCCAGTTGCTGAGAGTGGATTTGTGACTATTTGGATGTGCAGCTATGTTTGCTTCATTTTTTGCTGCACCTCGTCCACTGTTTCTTCATGTGATGATTACTTAAATGCTTGATCGCTTTCATGTCTTTAGCTGATGTTCTTAAGATCTTTCATCTGTTCACATTAGCAACAACAGCTTCATTGTTTGTTTTGTTTGTTTTGTTTTTTAGTCATTTCACCCCAAGACACAAGTTGTTATTGAATGTTAAAGAATATGAGAAAAAGAAAAACATTATTAAGGAAAAAGAACAATAAAAGAAAAGGAATTAAGAAGACAAAAGATAACAATTGACATTGCATATAAATTTTTGAAGATGAAAGCTGGCTGGAAAACAAGGCTCGAAGAGAGTTCCACATGTGAGAAGTGTGATAGCAGAAATTGTTAGCATAGAATTTGAGACCTAGCTGCCAATCTAGTACTGTGCTTAAATTTCGTAAAGTGAAGGTACCAATGAGGAAAGTTCAACAGAACAATTACCATGAAAATATTTATAGAAAAAGTATAGGGACACTATGTTATGACAGTGGGAAAGTGACAAATTTCTCATCTCCTACATATATACCATTCTTCCTCTTCTATGAACCAATCCTAGTCCCAAAACAATTATTAGGTTGTTCAGAAAATAATGTCCGATCTTAGAATTTATTCCTGAATTAATGTATTTAAACTGTGGTTAAATCAGTTCAGATAGGAACCCTGAACATCTATACATTTCTGTGATCAAATTACAAGGATATTTATGCCTCTTTGGTAAAATATTAAAGGTTTGGATGCCAAGAAATCTTTGAATGCTGTTTCTGCATCTTTTTTGCAATGGAATATCTATTGGCTGAAAAAATTGTCAAGATGTTTTTAAAAAAGTGTTTGTCAGTGGGCCAGAGATCAGAGGAATATAGTGGGCATAGCAAAATCTCGTATCCCAAGTCAGTGAGCTCTTGCAGTGTTATCCTGGCAATATGTGGCCAAGCATTTTGATGGAACAGATTAATCAGTGCCAGCTGAATTTTGCTTAACTTAATGTGCATTTCATCCAGGTGCTGGTAGTAAACTTTGGCAATGATGCTCTGGTTGGGATTCCAGAAAGCTGTCATTGATAATGCCAATGGAAGACAGTCGCCATAATCTTCTTTTGGTGCCATTTCAGTTTTGGAAAATGTTTGGGTCCTTTGTCATGGTCAAGCAA